ATACGAAGGTGGGGTCTTGCTTGGGAATGTTCCACTTGCAAAAAGGAAGCAATCGAATGAATCGAATCGCGCTTCCAAACCACATCCTCGACCTTTCCATAACATGGCGACTCACATGGATTGGCTCGCTCGTAAACACATAAATAGAAAACGTGTGAGATTTATGTGCAGTCACGATAGTTAAGTCACGAGGACGAGATAACACAGAAGCCAAAATGAGTTAGTCGAATGAATCATTTAAGTCAAGTCACGTTTGGAAGAAACAACAACGGCGACACGTACCATGTAATATCAAGATGGTGGATTCGGTGTGGTGGTTTGGATGCTCTTGGTTGTTGTAGAAGGAAGATCGCGGCTGTTGATGCTTGGTTGTAATGAATGGCACGCCATGGCCGTTGTCTTTCTGTTGATGTGGAAATTGTAATGAAAGAAGAATTGGTAAGAAACAGCATAAGAGGCAACAAAAAGGTACGGTCACGGCTCTCGGCACTCTACCAATGTTCTGCTGATGCGACGGGATCGCGACGGATAGTAGCTAGTTCTTGTTGTCTGGTCCGTGGTGAAGGTAGAAGGACGGTGGAAATTGCGCAATGCCGCCATGGTGGAATAATCCAAGCAGTTGTTGTTGTACCTCGCTGAGAAATGAAGCGGGAAGGAATAATCTTTGTTGTCGGAGTGGTCGTGCCTCCAATGAAGTCAAATTTTCCTGTCGATAGATTCAAATGTAATGAAAGGGCTGCGGAATACATCAGTTAGATGCTTCAAAGACCAGGAAGATTCTCGAAAATGTAGGAGTTTGATGTTTCGAAACTCCATGAAATAGGCAGGATTTCTAAGGCTCCATCGCGAATAAAACATTATCACTTTTGTTAGTTTTGTCGTCTGCTAGTATTGACATTGCACTCAGCCGCATCATGTCGAACCAGTGGACGAATACGGGAATGTATCCTCGTACAACGTATTGGGGAAACGACACAAATGCTCGTAGCCTGGCACCCACCATGACTTACGGCAACAAGAGACCTCCTCGTTATTGTGATTTCACAGAAGAACCGAAATGCCCTCCGTGTAAAACTATTGAAGATGCCTTGGCACAGATCGAAAAGCATTTTGGTGGCTATCATGCTGGTCAGTATTGTCTGAAAGCCGATGGCACTGAAAAGGGGATACCTGGCTTGAAGAAGTTCAAGTTTCATTGCATTGCTAACTACACGGATGCCAGCACCGGAGTTTCGTATAAGTGCAAATGGCGATGTCAAATCCGATGCTTTACTATTGAACAGGCCGCACCTGTTTACAAGGTCTTTACCAAAGGCTTTCTTTCTCACAACCACACAGTGTGCAAGAGTCCGAGCTCACCGTCGGAACAACATGGTTTGCCCAACTGCATAGTTGCATTTATGAACGAGATGCTGTCTTTTGAGGCAACTGCACGGAATAGATCTGTACTCAAGATTGCTGCGGAGGAGATGCTTCGAGCGATTATGGAAGCACTTGAATGTGCTTCCAGACCGCAGTGTAGGAATCATCCGATGGAACAACACCTGTATTTGCTGCAACCAGAGTACAGAGAACACCTGAAGCGACAATTGCGCAACTACATGAACCACAGAAAAGTGAAATACATTGAGCAAAGCTTGGGTACAAACAAGGACCTGGTCAATGCGTACAATCTATACCGAGCACTCCTCAACTGGCGACTTACTCTGCCTCCCGATTATTCGCCGAAAAGATATGAATCGGCGGATTCTCTTGCGGCTGCCCTCGGGACCAAAGTGGATGCAATGTTCGTTGTGGATCTGACTTATGGCGCCATGCACAATCGGTTCAAGCATGCGATGTGTCTTGATTCACCGAGCAAAAGGAATGATTTCAACGAAAAGATGGAACAGTCATTTCTTGTTACTTCACCGACCGGTTTGTTCATGCTTCTGAATGTTGCCAGTAGGATGCCTGGAACGCGGCAGATTTGCTCTGATGGAACTGGTGGAACTTGCCTTGACCTGAGCACAATGGTAACAATTGGAACACTTTCTGTAAAGGAACGTGAAACACAGAACCAAGTGACTGCCTCTCTCAGACCAATCTGTTACCTGCATGTGGGTGCTGAGAGGTATTATCCCTATTGTCATTCTCTGTACGTTCTCCGTGATCTCTGTTGGCAACTGTTCAACGTTCGGTTTGCCATTGATTGGGGCACATCTGATCGTGCAGATGCGTTCATCAAAGCCCACCGATTCTTCCATCGGCATCCAACCATTTGTGATGACGACACTTTAATCAAGCAGCCGATGGGTACAAGGAGAACAAAGGTTGATTGTTGTGAAAACCATTTGGCAGTGGAACTCGAATCATCTACCACGAAAGTTGCTTCCATCATTCCGGATAGATCAGCGAGTTTATCACTGGTTCATTCTTCTCCAGTGATGCCTCCAGCGGAGGTGAAAGTGGTAAAACCCCTGTTCGATTGGGTGAGTTGGAGGAGCAGATGTCTGGACGTATCCAACAGCAGCGGAGCAACTCCCTGCTACTTTCACATTACTCAACACTTCGCCAAAAACGACGGATACGTAAGGAAGATTCGAGATCGACATTTCGCGAAGGGAAATAGCAACCAGCACTCCCTTGCTCACAGACACATTCAGATGATCCATCACTGTAAAACCACCAAACAGAAGATAAAGATCACAGAGCTGATAATGCGAAACTGGATCGAGGAACGTGGAGAGTCGTCAGCGGCTCTCCACTTCCTAAAAATGTATGGAGAAGGACCGTACTTCAACTTCAATTACAGTCGCCCTGGTCATGCGGGTGTTTACACAGTGAGTAACAGCAATGAAAGCCATCACCATCACAACATGAAAGGCAAGAATGCCCCTATTGCTTTGAATGTTTCATTACCACGATTGCTGGTGGACACTTACCCAAGCTTGCTCAAGAGGGATGCATTAGATCGTGGCGATCCGTGTACTATAGTCATTCCAAGGACCTGTTCCCGCCTCTGTTTGATCTTGAGCTCATTCATGAAACCAAATCGAGATATCATTCCAATTCAGTTTGAAGCGACTGGAAAACCGGTAGCATGGATATGCAATGTCGGTTACATGATTGGTGTCCCACTAACGAAAGAGAGGATCCAAAGAATCCATTCTTCGTTGAATGGCGATGAAGAACCTTTCGAAGATCTCTATTCCAATAAAGGGCAGCCGATGGACTTAACGGCGCAGAAGATGGTGTCAGTCAGTAGAAACAGCTGCTTGTTGTCGATCGCACACGACGGTCAAGTCACTGGTGACTGTGAAGACTGTAGGAAGAGATTGGGATATAACTGTCCTGCAGCTGCCCACATCCGGAGTAACCTTGGTCACTTCGACGTTTCGATTGAAGACATGAGGAAAGTGAGAAGTAACACTCGTCGAACAGGTTTCAAGGCCCAAGCTAGAGGAAGACGTGATGGCATGTACGAGGGTGGTCTATTGAAGGATGGTAGGACAGCAAGAGCCACGCCCAAGATGCTAGTGTCCAATGAGGAGTTCCTGGAGTCACTGTCGACGCAGCACAAGATAAAGGCAATCAATAGTCTTGGATTGTCAGTTTCGAACGAACAAAGACGCATTCTTCGAGCGTCAGGACTTACTCCCAAGAGTGTGGAAGACACAATTTGCCTTAAGGAATTATTGTCCTTCCACTTGAACGCCACACTTTACAGGGAATGTCAGAAGAAAGCCCAAGAGGTTACACCTTCTGTTCCACCACCAACGAAGAAGCAAAAAACTTGTTAAGTCCATGGTAGAGGATGTGTATTCCCTCCTGCGAATGACTTGCCACAGTCGCCCTGATCTCTCGCACTCGATATGAACCAAAAAATGAGGCTCGGATCAGAATGAGTACGCTTATTCGTACGCTTATTCCCAGTTCCCAGGAATCGGTCCTGTTGGTGCGTATTGCTACTTAAAGAAACAGAGAACGTACCACCTGTAGTGTAATTGTAGCAAAGAAGAATCAGAATACGAATACATAGAAGCAAGCCCATTTGACCGACTTGGGTTCGCTTGGTTGATCTGTCACTTACCATTTCCAACCGACATGTGGATGGGTGCTAAGCAAATGCCTCAGAGCATGCGACCGCTTAACAATGTCATCGTCGGCTTCCAGTTGTTCATAGATAAAAAACGTAAGTAGCCCAACTGATGTTGCTGTTCCGATTCAGCGAAGCAACTGGATGCGGATTGCTTCGATTTCTCTCATTTTCCGAGCTTTCGACACTTCGAAAAGGCCTCCAGCAAAGAACGTACGTATCCTCAACAAGAAAAGCTTCGACGATGTCCTCCTCCGATGGCGACGATGACAAGAAGCCGCCAGCTCGTCGAACTGACAACAACAAAAAGCCTCCCCCTCGTACGTCCATCCGTAATCCTTACAACCAAAGCATTCCTGTTTCAGATCACATGCGTCGTGCCGGAGAAGAGCATCCAGTCGCTCGAAAACCATTCGCACGCATGAGTACCAGTGGAAAGGCTCCACGAAGTCAGTATCCCCGCGGTTACACTCAGTACGCACCTGAAGAAGATGATGAACCCAACCCGTCTGTTGCAAGTCGCAAAGCCCCCGAGTACACCGAGTCCTCCGAACGTCTCCGATTCACTCCATTCTATCCGAGTTCGGCATCAGCTGTCCTGCCTACACAGGATTCTCCAGGAACTGAAGTTGTCAAGAAACGCCGTTCCACTTTGAAGTCGATCCGTCCTGGATCTAAATTGCTTGATGAAGACTCTGTGTACTATCACGTCCCGGTCATTGAAGCTGCTGAGAACCGCAATGAACCACAAGGTACTCCACCAAAGGTGGCACCGGCGGGATTGATGGACAACAATCCTCCCACACCCAAGGAATTTCTTTCGCAATTGATCGACAACAACATCGACGGATCCACCGAAGGTCGCGCCAAGAACAGCAACGACGATGAAGACGATGAGTTCCCACTCGAAGACTTTGTCCGTCTTGCATCCAGTACGTTAACTCTTTGTGAACGCTGCTACACCATCATTGACAAACTCAAGGAGGATGGAGTTGTCCTCATCCATGTTGTCCAGCATTATTATTATGCATGCAACAAACCGTATCTGAACACTGGACGTGAAATAGCTTGGAAGTTTGACGACCACCTCCTCAAGCAACCCATTTATTGGCTTGCGCAGTCTGGCTACCCATTCCCACGTCCAGGAGATGAGTTTGCCATGATGGGAATGTACTTTCATCCTGACAAGTTCATCGAAATGCTCCAGATGCTGCACTTCGCCATCAGCATGGAGTATTTTTGGTTCAGGAAGGTGGCAACCGGCTTCAACTGGAACCATGATGAGTATGCTCGTCGCTTGACTTTCTTCAAAGATCGTCATCCATTCAGTGGCTGGATGACCCGACCAAGGGGAACGGCCGACGTTGAAGAGATCAATGATCCAATTCAGGATCCTGACGATGACGATGACGACAATGATGACGGCACTGACAATCATGGTCCCGATCGTGATGGTGGTGGCATTCAAAGCAAACGCCAACAACATCGTGGACATGTCACTGGTGGGAATCAAGGCCGTCGCAATGAAAGTCGCGCCACTGGACAAGATCAAGTCCGCCACAGTGTTCGTAGCGGAGGTGACCGACAACTCCAACCAAACAAAGCTTACATTCCACTCACGATCAAGACCGGAACTTCAAGCATCGAGTTCGGCATGGGTGGAACCGAAGCAAGTCTTTCTTCAACCCCGAAGATCACAGGACGTGCAAGTCTTAAGCGTCCACCTGACACAGACAACAGTGGCAAAAGCTATGACACCGCACTTGTCATCACCGACTCTGGAGACGTGGACGTACCCCCGCAGATTGTGGAGGCACCGACGCAGATTCCAAAGAAGGGCGCCACTTACGAGACTGCTTTGGAAATAGCTTTGTCTTCCAGTTCTGATAGTGGCGACCGAAAGCCAGCAGCGAAGAAGACGTCATCGGCAACTCAAAGCACTGATGATTCCACTGATGATTCCGACGAAACCAGCGAAAACAACACCGATGGTTCCTCCCCAGAAACACTCTCCAGTATGAGTTCTCGTGACAGCCCACCAACGAGAGCCGCAAAAAAGAAAAGTACTACCAAGAGTGTTCGTCGTCGTCTTCAGTTGACCAAGGAGAAAGAGTCCAAGGATGAAGATTCAGATTCCAGTTCGAATGATTCCGATGCAGCGAAGGAACAACAGCAGCATTGCGGTCAAGATTCTGAAGTTGACGATGAAGATGATTCAGAAGGTGGTCAATCTTCCACCACATCATTGACTTATTGAATGCCTTTGGTGGTGTGATGTCGATGTTTCGTCTGAAGAATCGGTCAGGTGGTGTCATTGTGGTCGTGGTTTCTTCCTTTCTTTCGCTTGTGTAACGATGTGGCGATATCCATCTCGCCTACTATTGGTCAGCGAACTCTCAAAAGTGTTACTGAGGCGGTGTGCGCCTAAATATGTGACGTACCTCAGGTGGGGTATGCTTTACCACTTTCGGTATTTACGGTGTAATTTCAGTCGTGCTTATCGCTCTTAGGATAATCTCTAAATATATATATACGTCATGAATATGTAGATATCCTATCGACTACATGTGACTAACCATATCTCAGATATGGTCGACGACCTTCCGCCTTCCGAGGTCCCCAAACAGTTTTCTTGCATAAATTGGCCAGATCCCTTCATTCGTCAGGCCTACCCTTGGAGTTATCTGAAACTTATTAGGCCATCCATCCATCCGTACAATACACAGCTCATCTCTTCTACGACAATCAATCAATCAATCCATCATGAGCAGCCAAGTAGCGTATTCTCCCGCTTCCACGCCCAGTAGTCGAGGTCTATGGGGCGCCGTGAAGAAACAGGGCAGCAAGGTGGGCGCCCGAGCATCCAAGTTGGGCCAGCAGACCAAGATGCGAGCGGAGCTCATGATGATGGATCAAAAGATTACCAAACGCAAGCAACGATTTGGCGTAGATCTGTACGACACTTTGGCGTTGCACGCACGACAAGACCCCGACTTTATCATTGAGAGTCCATCGCTCGAGCAGATTCGTGGTCACTTTGTCACGGCGTTCAAAGATCACAAGGCGCTGCGGCAAAAGCTGGCGTTGCAACAACAAGGATTGGTTGAGCTGGGAGAACGACGCGAAATTGCCTTTCCAGCAGTTCCGGGCGAAGGAGAAACAACGCTGGGTGGAAAAGCCAAGAATGCCGGCAAGGCCGCCAACTTTTTACGAGAAGAAACCATGTACAAGAGCAAAATTGCCGCGGTCGAAGCGGACATGAAACACAACAAGAAGAAATTCGGTGTCGAAGTGTACCTGTTGTTGGTGCATCTGGAAGACAGTCAAAAGTGGTTGTCGCCCGATCGAGATGTCCGATTTCTCTACGATGCGGCACGACGAGATGTCACGCGTCTGCTCATGGAAAAACAACAAAAAGAAACCGACTTGAGAGCTCTCTCTGGAAAGTCTGTTATTTGATTTGATTTTCAACAAACAAACCAACTCTTACTACGATTTTGAAACACACCGTGGGTTGCTTGCTCCTTTGGAAGGAGCAGCGTAACTCAGCTGCTGGTTGGTTGGTTGGTTGGCAATTCATCCTTGTTGTTTATACTTTAGATTCTGCATTGCATGCATGTGCCTTGTTCATAAGCTAAAATGAAAAATGATAGCTTCGTATTCGCAGTTTTCCGCATCTCATCAGATCGTGACTTCGTGAAGTTGCAGGTAGCTTGGAACAGATCCCCATATGATATGAGACTTTTCTCGGACTATACCGTACTCTTCAGCAGCCACGTCTAGCATGAACATGGGAGTGCTTGCATCAAGCGGGGGAAACTCGGGGCTGTGATCCCACTCAGGAACATCCAAGAGAAGCAAAGCGAGTCAGAGTCACCTCTTGCAGCTCCAAAGACATCTGAGGCAGCAAGTAATGCTCAGGATCACAACCAATCAACCACCAAAGCAGTCGCCGGTCCATCGCTTTGTGCGCACCAGCGGTGACCGCGGTGGCATGCACAGCTCTGGTGTTGGGATAGTCCTTGAAACCATGGCCTGTGTGCCTCCATTCGAGCTCGACTTTGACCAAGTCGACATCGAGGAGGAGGAGCTCTCAGACGCAAGCTCTGCAATAACTGCGTGAGACAACAATGTACAGGTTGTTGTGGCGTACCGTATTGGTCAAAACTACCTGCTCGATTCGATTCTGCCCATCCTCATGCACTGTTTCACTGTGACTGGTTTCCTCCGACGTAGCAACACATTTTTTAGTTAGATAGCTACTAGCTAGCTAGACCTTTGAGTGTGTCTGATGGGCCACGGATGGCAGAGAGGCCGTCACTCGTGGTGCATCTGTCATGGTGCAGGTGCCACCAATAGTCAACTTGGGAAAAGCGGATCCTTAAAAATCGGGTACTCACAATTCCAATTTTGCCAATTCCTCACAATTTCAACTTTCCGATTTCTTGATTTTCGATTTCCAAGTTCTCACAATTCCAATTTTGAATTTCCCATTCCTCACAATTCCAATTTTCATGTTTCCCATTCCTCACAATTCCAATTTCAGATTTTATTTCTGACATTTCCAATTTTCGATTTCTCACAATTCAAATTTTCAATTTCTCACAATTCTAATTTTACCGATTCTTCACAATTACAATTTTTGATTTTTGATTTCTCACTATTATTATTTTCAATTTCTCACAATTTTTATTTTGCCGATTCCTCACAATTACATCTTTTAATGATTTCTCACAATTACAGTTTTCAATTTTCAATTTCTCACAATTAGAATTTTGGATTCCTCACAATTACATTTTTTCCGATTCCTCACAATTTCAATTTTTGTCGATTTCTCACAATTACAACTTTGAATTTTCGATTTCTCACAATTTTAAATTTTACGATTTCTCACAATTACATTTTTGGACCATTCCTCACAATTACATTTTGTTTCGATTTCTCACTATTCTAATTTTAAATTTTTGATTTCTCACATTTCAATTTTCCAGATTTCTCACAATTCTAATTTTCCCTACTTCCTCACTATTTCTTTTTTTTTCGATTACTCACAATTACATTTTCCCGATTGCTCACAATTTGAATTTTCATTTTGGATTTCGCACAATTTCAACTTTTGATGCCTCACAATTTCATCTTTCTGGTCGTCACAATTTCAAAAAAAATGGTTGGCGGCAATTTTTGCCAGTTACGTCGGGATGTTTCTAACAGATCTTAGCTGGGTGGGTATCTATGGGATCTTTGTTGTCACTTTTCTCAGGGAACCACCACATGGCACTTTTTGGTGGGAAACTCTTGTGTGCCTCAAGTGTCAAGGTGGGACCTGTTACCTTCATCAACAAGACGGAAGAACCATGAAGACAACCATCCGCACTCGAGAAAGACGGCGATCATGCCATTACTGCTTAGTATTAATCGCTGCTTCTTTGGTTGGTGCTACCATGGCATTCTCCTCTCCTTTTGGAGTCAAGAAATATGAAAGGCACTTGGAGTTGCCAATGGCTACAATAAGTCGTGATCACAACGAGCCACCAAAGGTATCTTTAGTTTCTCCAGCAAGAGGTACTCGAGAAGATGGTCAACTTATCAGCAGGTCGGCCTTCTTGTCGTCATCCCTCATGGCCGTTATGGCTGTCTCTACAACAGGCTTGTCGGCACAACCATCACCAGCCAATGCTCAGTCGTCGTCCACAGCAGAAACCGACACTATATTACCAAAGTTGGATTCCTCCGTGGAAACAAAGACCAATGACAAAAAGAAATCGACAAGCAGCAGCAACACCCTGGAAGAAAGTATCTCTGGCTTTATCGCCGGTGCATCCTTGGCAACGACCAAAACCATTGTCAAGTACCCACTCGATACTGCCACGGTCCGCCTCCAAATGCCAAGATCCGACTATTCTATAAACCAACCTGGAAGACTCCTCCAAGGAAGTTTTCGTGGCGTTACGACTCCCTTGCTGTGCAATATCCCGGCCGGTGCCGTATTCTTTGCCGTCAAGGATGCCACCAAGGAATTTCTCAAGACGTCTTCGTCACAACCACTCCCACGATGGGCGTCCACCAGCATTGCCGTGTTGGCGGCTACCGTTCCGTACATGCTCGTACGCAATCCCAGTGAAGTCATCAAAACACGACAACAAGCTGGTGTGGAGGGGTATGGAGAAGGGGTTTCGGCACTGCAAGCCTTTGAGAATGTCAAGAATGATGGAAACAGCAGTACATTGGCCAACTTTTATTTGGGCTACTGGGAAAATGTCCTCTACACCTATCCCGCCGATGTGATCAAGTTTGTCAGTTACGAAAACTTTTCCGGTGGACGAAAGAATCTACCACCGCTCGAAGGCGCCGTGTACGGAGCCATGGCCACGGCCACGGCGCAATTTCTGACCACCCCACTGGATGTGATTCGAAACCGTGTCATGGCAGGCACAACAGACGGCAACGAGACCAAATCATCCTATGTGGAAAGCTTGACGAGAATAGCTCAAGAGGAGGGACTGGCAGGGCTGTTTGCGGGCGTGAGCCCTCGTGTGGGCAAGGCACTCCTCAGCGGAGCTATTCAGTTTGCTACCTATGAAGAAACAAAACAGACACTTGCTAGCTACTTTCAACGACAAAAGAGATGATAAAAGAACCAACTGCTAGCAAAACATGGATACAGATAAATGATTGCTGGCTAGCTAGTTGCTCAAATTGAAATCTTCTGAACCTGTGCAGCTATTCTCGTGCAGATACTCCATAACTAACTCCCAAATGGCTATTTCTAGCTAGGACTAGCATCGTATCAACTGTGCAAAATGGTATGATGTAACCGGTATGGTTATAGGCAGCATATACTTGAGTCTTCGTTTTGACTCGAAAGGCCCTGCTTTGGTATGCCAACCATAGCTCAGACCTCAGTGTACAAACCCTTTAAGATAGCTAAAAGGTGTCACACCCTCTCAGGAGGCAATTGTGACCAGTGAGCAGACTTGAATGCAGGAAACAACTGGGCCTGGGCTCCTGGGTCATCCTCAAACATTTCTTGTCTGAATCCGTTTTAAAATGGATGTTGTTGCTGTTGGGTTTTTTTTTAAATACCATTTTGGGCGGCGGGGTCTGCACCAGGTCTTTCGTTTTCTTCTGTGTCTTCCCGCCAGTTGGTTGGACCACCGACTGACGATGGATGAAGCAAGCGAGCTGCAGACATGTTCGAACCTCCGCTCTACCTCTCTGCGTCCGAGCTGGAACCAATTACCAGTACGGCACGGAATCGGACCAAGGTGACCGGAATCGAAAGGCTTTCTTCAAGTTGGAAAGGATCAGCGCCACTCAGTCTCGAGCCAACATGCTCATGTCATCTGGCCGCTATCCTCTGGCTCGACAGCAGCTTGTGACACAACCCCATACTCAACCCAAAGGTTTTCCAGATCACTGATCTTCACCGGCTTTGGAAGAACCGCATTAGCGCCACAAGACATGAAATAGCTCACGTCTTCGGGAAGCATGTTCCCAGTGATGCCCACGATGAAAGACTCCGAACCAAGCTGTCGCATCTCTTTGGCTGCAGTCGGACCATTCATCTTTGGCATCTCGTAGTCCAGCAGGACCGTGTCGTAGTACCCCCCTTCCGCTTCCTTGTCGATCACCATCTGCAAGGCAACGTCGCCATCGTCTGCAGAGTCGCAGTTGTGGCCTGCGTTCTTCAGCAATCGACAAAGTAGCTTCCTGTTCGACGCAATATCGTCGACAACAAGAATGTTCAGCTTATTCATCTCCGTGGAAGCCTCAGTGTAACATTGTAACTTCTTTTCCGATTGCTCGCTGGTTTCATCGTCAGGGGACAGGTACAGGGGGAGATGCATCGTAAACGTCGAACCATGGCCTAGGCCAGGAGATTCCGCTTCCAAGCAACCCTCGTGACACTCCACAATCCCTTTTGAAATAAAAAGGCCAAATCCACTACCCTTCCCCTGCTGAAGCTTGTTGGCATTGTATTGCACCCCTTCTCGGAAGAGAGATCGAACTTGTCCCTGAGTCAAGCCAGCTCCCGAATCCTGCACCGCCACAGTCACATACCCGTTTCGAGGCAACGTCAAGACGTCCCCATTGCCCAGATGTATGCGGCGGGGTTGGCTCGCCGCCTCCTCTGACGTGGGCCGGTGCCATGTAGCCACGATATGAACGGATCCCTTCTCAGGAGTGAACTTGATTGCATTGGAACAAAGGTTTCGGAGCACCTGAACAAGCCGGACTTGATCACCAATGACTTTGCAACTCTTTGTTTCCTCAGAGAGTTCGGAAACTGATTTGACCGGACTGCTAGGCGATTCTACGTCCTTTGCAAGCAGAGGATCGCTGTCGTCAACTTCGGTGCGGAATTCGAGCTGAAAGTCAATGTTTTTTCGCTGTGCCGAAAGCCGGAATTCGCCCATCGTCTCTTTGACAATCTCCCATATTGGTAATTTCGCCAGTTCGAGTGTCAAGGAACCAGATTCGATCTTATCGTAATTCAGAGCATCACTGAGCACGTCCACTGCAAGGCAAATTGTTAGCATGGCGAAATTCTAGCTCATGGAACCGGGACATCAGTTTTGGCACTTACCAGCACACAACGTATTGCGCAAAACCTCTTGACTCAGACGAAACCACTCTATTACAGACTCTTCCGACAGCTTTTGTTGGCTGACACCAGGTCTCCTCATGCCTCCCGTGCTGCTTCTCCTAGAGATTCCTCGTGGTGCAGTTCCGAAAAGTTTTGCGGACGTGATCGCAGGAAACAACGCAGCAGGCTCGAAAGGCTTTTGCTTCAACATGTTGCCGACGATGGAATCTCCGTCGCTTGCTTCCGAAGTTGGCGCGGTAGACGGAGTTTCGAGGGAGAATAGCGGCGACGGTGTTGGTGATTGCGTTTCCGGCGGCACGTCAATCATGGATTTCGATAATGTCTTTGTAGGGCCCGTCGGCTTTGCGGGGCCTACCGTCATCGATTTGGACAAAGATCTGGTCATTTTTATGTTGGGATTCATATACTGCAGCAGATCTTCCTTGCTCTTGTTTTTGTCGTTTTCACCGCCTCCTTCAGCCTTTGCGCGCATGTCTTCGACCGAAGTACAGCCCAAGGACTGTGCGAATTCGGATTGAAGGACAGTAATACCCATGCAGACTGCATTCAGTGGTGTTCTCACCTCGTGAGAAATGAACCTCATAAAGGAGCGCTTGGCCGCCAAAAGTTCTCTTTTGGCCAAGAACTCTCTGCGAACGAGAAAATCGTAGACGAAGAATAGCACCGACATGAAGATAATGATGAAAATCGCGCCGATGGTGACCGTAAGTGGATTGTGGGTACTGTAAACATCGTATAAACCATCACATGGATAAATGGACATGGTGTAGTGTGCGGAGTTTTCGGTGTAGTATTCTGGCGCAGTGATCTGAATCGATCGGCGAAATTTGTCGTACTGTGTATCATGCAGGTCTCCATCTCCCCTGAAATACGTGACGAGAAACGCGTTGTGTGAGGGCGTGTACTGGTACCGTACGCCGAAACCATTCTGATTCGCTTCGATGTGACGACGAGGAGACTTACTTTGGCTCAGTTTGCCCGTCTACAACTTTGTACGTGAAGACTTCGTCTCCCGCCGACAAGACAACGTCCACTCCGGAAACTTCGTCAGCAAAAGCGTTTTTCAATAACTGATCAAAAACAACTCTATAGGGCACAAATCCAACCAACTAAAAGGGATAGGTGTGGTGAGATACAGTACAGTACTATCTTCCGTCTACTAGCTAGGGCAGCGCCACCCAAAATAATGCACGTACCGTTGTGGGATCATTGGCTGGATACACGGGGGTGTAAATGACTGCAGAGGGCCCCCGCTCGGGATCTTTCTTGTAGTCCACCATGCCTGTGATCCTGTGAGTGATCAAGTAAGTCGGGAGAGTGCGGAACAACCAATGTGAGAAAAAAGCTGGCTGGCAAACTGCCAATCACATTACAATAAAACAGAACAGAACACGTACACTCCACAATCTCGGTCTGCCAAACTATCGGGTGTTACCGTGGCATGTCGGCGTTGGGAACATTCTATCATGTCATCAATGGCCCGCCCTCGACGAGGGTCCGAGTGTGGATTGAAGAGCAGGCGTTTCTCTGGGTTGTTGCTGGTAAAGGCTACTGGGGTAACAATCTGACGGGTACTTCCCCAGGTGGTCGTATTCCCAAAGTCTCGATATCGAATGGGCTTTTGCCGGTTTTTTGTGGAGGTGGTTGCATTGCCACTGGTAGTGTCATTGAGGTATAGTCTTCCCCAGATACCTTTTCCAAAGGGACTGACAGCAGTGGTATTGGGAAACGGAGGTTGTCGTGTTTCATGATAATACTTGTAGATAAAGTCTTCCCATTCGGAAATATCGGAAGAAGGAACGATCGGGCAAAATCCAGCTCCGAGTCCGGAACTGTGGCGAGATGATAAGAAAACAAGTAGAATCAGGAACAAAAACAGGTGAGCAATGAGAATCTGATGACGTATACCGAATGCTACCCATCCAATGGGCACATACGGTACGTACCTCGATGTGAGTACATTGTTCATCAGTCGCTCGATTCCAGGGAAGGTAACATAGGGATAAGAGCTTGCGTTGGGTTCCATGGTGGAGAGCACGGAGGCCAGAGTAATAGCGGACCATCTCTTGAGCTGGATAATGTTAACCGCTTCACTCAAGGCTCGATCGGCAATCGATTCAAACATGGTTTGGGCTAGATCTTGTTCTGCCTTGTTGATGAAATAGTACGCCGTTACGCCGAGGACCGTCGCCACGCAGGACATGGAGACGATAAACAAGATGCGGGCCCGCCATATCGCCGTGTCGCCGCCTAATCGACTCGAAGGGGCATCGGCTCCCACCGACGATAACGAGTCGTTCTTCTTCAGGCGGCGATGAGGAGACATCGCCATGGCAAACCAATAGTACCGGTAGTAAGAGCAGTTTGATATTTATTTGTCAGTTGGTGGCAACAACGGCAACAACGGCAACAACGAGAAAGTGGGGGAGCAAAAAGAGAGAAAGAGGAGGTTTGACGCAACCTCTATCTGTGCTGTGGTCTGTGGCATGTCTCCATGGACACTGCACACACTTTTTCCTCTTTCTTATTGCTCCTTTCGGCAGCTTTCGACCATTGTCATGGAAAAAGGCTACTGTAAAAGTCGTAAAGGTAACTAAGCTGTGAAAAATAGGTCATTAACGCTTGATGGTACCGGTACAGTAGTTATTGTTATTGGAAACAGGTTGGGACATAAAAGGCACCAGAAGTGTGACCTTAGTTCCTTGGAAGTGAACAAGTGAACACGTAAGAGAATCCGTAAGAACCATACGCACGGTATCCGAACATCGAACGAGAACAGTTGATAAAACAGAACACAGATGGATGACATACTAGATCTAGCTAGAGAGATAGTACTGTACTGCACAGAGTTGGGTAGCATACCTTGCAGTACACTCCAAACCTGAAGGTAAGAAACTACAAATATGAAAGCAAGTACTCAGATTTTAGAAAAAGATAAGAATCTTTTTATACTGAAATATCACAGACTTGTAAGAAAATCTCCCAGTATTGATACCTCCAAGCAAAAGAAATACTACAAGTCTGACACCATGAAAATGCTCCAAACTTATGTCTAATAGAAATCTGCAAAATTTTCTGCCTGGTCACCACTCTTACTTGATCCAAACCAATTAAAAGAGCCCTGAGCAGGTTGAACCCAAAGGCCCAGGTGCACCGGGTGTATCCAAACACTACCCTGCTTGATCTAGAAGTGTAGTAAGAAAGTCTTCTATACTGAAATTGGCCTGTTTTGTTAGAAATAAAATGAGTCGCAAAATAGAGTAGTTGGGAAAGAAAGCTCGAGTGCTGACTCCCAGTTCTTGATTTCTTATTATTGAGTTTGGAGTGTAGAAGATACCAAGAAATAAATGGTCTCCTATTAGTAGCTGGGCTGTCCTTTTAAAAAATCCAAATCTGCCTTTAAATCTAAATCACCCACTTTCTATTGCTGATCTGAGGGCAGTGAGGGCAGTGGTGAGTCGTCCCTTAATAAATAATCACCTCAATCAAAATCGTTCCTGTGTTCTTGCGGTCTATCGGTCCGGTCCATCTAGCAATCATCCCGAGATCACCGATTGCGAGCGAGCTCAAGCGAGATCTATCCACACTCCAAAGATTCCTAGGCACACTACCGAGATCCAAAAGCAAAGCTGCCAGGATGCCAGTGCAGATACTAGCTACATGCTAGTAGTCTTGGGATTGAGCAGCACACAAATGGCTGCTGATCCTCTCTCTTGGGCTGATCAACAGCCAGTTGGAAGGATCACCCTGGTGGCAAAGCCCACCCAGCCCTCCCTGTCGGATCAGTGCCGTGCTTTGGATCCAGCAGTCAGGTGTAAATCACCCACTTCTATTCCCAATCCCAGCACTATCAATCCGACACGTACAGCATGGGACACCCACTGTGCTTGGCCATAGATAGTACTAGGAACCATTGCCCTGCCCATGTCATCTACAGCGCGGAAGCTGAGGCGAGGAGTTGAGGAACCTGCAATAATAAGTAAACTATTTCGAGACCTCAGCGGGTTCAACAGGACTTCAACCTCAAACATGATACTCCAAACGATAACTCGTCGAACCGGAACTCGAGGAGATGTCAGCGCATACCCGTACCTCTAGATAGTGTACCGGTACCATACCGTACGGTAGGTCTTGTGTCCTTGTTACGTACCGGTACCGGTACTAATATCTGGTAGAAGGTTCTACTGTATTTTCTCCCAGCAATGTGTCAAAATTTTTCTACCACTAGCTAGACCTCGAGGCAGTACAGAACTCTGAGCAGGTTTTCAATTTAGTGCACGACCAACACGGAAAGCGTTCCAGTCGGGTGACTACGGTAGTGCCATCATAATGGTACAACCGAGGGCCGCTGTTTCGATTCTACGAGCTACTAAAACTTGTGCTCCTGAGCAGTACCTGGTACTAAGCCAGCCGCGACTGTACCCATTTAACTGAAAAGGCTTGACCCGATCAATTGTTCTGGAAGGCGTAGTATTCTGCGCATGTACTTTACAGACTTCATGCATGCTTGTGGTACTCGCTAGCAACTCAGCAGTAGTTATCCGCAGAGGGCCAGGCTCAGGCAAAGAAAAGGCGATTCGATTCATTCGGGGCTGGTGGGTTCCCAAGGTTGCTTCTGCTCGACAATTGCTCAGCAGTGTAGCTTCGCAGATTCCCATAATTTCAATCGTCGGCTCGCAACGCAACCGCAAGCCATAATCGGACCAAACATGAAGCTCTCAGCAACAGTCGCCTTCTTCTTGCTCTCTAGTTGGAACACATCGCTGGGCCTTAGCCCAACTACAAAAACCCTTCACCCCCCACAGCTCAGCAATCTCAAAGCATTTTCGATGTATTATGACGGCAGCCACAAACTTGCACCATTGAAACCACAGCAGCCTCTCATGAGCCCTCGGTATGATCCGGAGGACACACTAGCCCTTCCAGCACTCATGGAAGTTGATGGCTTGGTCGTGCATGAATCCCAACCCTTAGCAGTGTCTGCACCCAAGCCCAGGCAAGCATTCGCCCCAGCCAGCACTTGGGGGCTGCGTCTATTCACCAAAGAAGACGCAACTGGGTTACACAAGTTTCCGAGTATCTTCCAGACCTTGACAGCTCTCGCCTTGGCTGCAATTGGTGCTTCAAGTGGCTTTGAAGACATGAGCTCACCTCTTCTTGAACCGCTCACTGCCGCTTTTTGTGTTTCCACCGCACTCCAAAGCGTGACTGCAGTCAAAATGGCATACTCGCACCGTAGAGAAGAGCCCATGGTCCGCAATGTTTTTGTCAACATGTCCATCATCTGTTTCTTGCAAGCCATGGCAGGATACTGGGTGGCTCCGTTTGCTCCTGAATGCTTCAACGATCCAGTCATTTCCAAGGGCCTGTTAACCATTGTTCCGTTGATCTCCCTGGCCATGTTTGTGCCAAGTTTCACAGAGATGGATGACCTAATTGGGTCCCAGCTGCGCCGTGACAAGCGAAAGGGGGAGAAAGACTTTCGCTCATGGTTGACAACAGCGCCATACCTCTTCACAGCCCCCGTCATGGTGGCTGTGATTGCTGCCTTTGGTGCGCCTGGCGTCGATCGTCTTGAGTTCTTTGATTTGGTGTCTTCTACTCCAGAGCTCAGCTTTGATCAAGCCAGTCTCTTCTACAATCAAATTGGGGCAACAGTAGGAGTCGCTTATTTGGGCTTGTATGTGACCTTGCGGGACAAGGGCCTCATCACAAAAGACACGGAAATCATGCTGACCACTGTGACGTCTGTTTTGGTTTTGGGTCTCACCATTGACCAGGCACGGGAGCTAGGGCTTGGCTTTTTCCTTGGATGAGGTTACTACTGTATAGCGCGTTGTAGTCCTTTCCGGGATAGTTCCAAAGTCTTTTGTAGACCAACGCTTCCGCCAATAGTTTGGTTACGGTGGTTCTTTTGCGTAGTTAGGTCGGCCTGCAGCAGGTTGGGAAAAAAGCTGGGGTGTTTCATGGCCCGTGACAGTACAATACTTGAACTAGCTAGCTAGTCATCTCTACAAAGTGGTGATGCCAACCTGCAAGCCGGTACCTCCAAGGTTGATTGTGATCCACAGTTGCAATCCCAACTTCCTCCTTCCTTGCTAAGATTGTGCTGGTTCCTTTTTGGTCAAGAAACATTGGATTTGGCACATAGAAGAGCATGATTTGATTTGGTGCATCCATCCCTCTAGTTTGGTCTACCATAACGAACGTTTTCAAGTTGATTTGATTTGCGTGTTCTAGCTAGTTTCGCGATTGCCTATGAAATAAAAATTGAAGTCGAAAGGAGTCCAAGCATGAATTGTTGCAACGAATGGAGCATTGCCTTTGGCCGGCACGGCACGGCACACATCCATCATGTGATTATTCTCAAAAGTCGTGGATTCGATTCAAAAAAGGCTGAATTTCAAGAAGGATGGCTGTGGATTGTAGAGATGCTCGTTCCAAAATAATGGATAGCCACCAACACATGTATCATCAATTGAGATGTTTTTGGTTGGCTTGTAGGGAGTCTCTTCCCTTGATTGTGGCATATTCTTCCTGCAGTGCCTCGACACGCGTCACCAGCGTGACAATTTGCCGTTGCTTGTCCGAAATGGTATCATTGCTGCTTTTCTCTTCTCGAATAGTCTGCAATTGTTGCTGCCACAATCGTATTTTGACCTTGAGTTTTTCCAATTCACTCAATTTTCCTTCCTCATTATTCCCTTCGAGTGGTTCTCCCGTGACGGTTTCGTATTTTTGATGTAGTTCGTCGAGCCGTTGTTGGCCATGTCCGTGCCGATCCAAATCCAATTGGAGAGGAGGATGCATCAACCGCAATTGATTTTCCAGCATCAGTACTCGAATTTCCTTGGCAATCTCCGATGCTTCGGCTGCATCCAAGAAAGCTGCGTGCCACACACGTCGTGTTGGACGGACGAGCCGCGTGGCAGTAGTAGCACAGCAGAGTCGAGTCGTCCGTACAAACATGGTCGATGGAAGAGAGTTGTTGGGAATAATACGGTAGTACAAAAGGGGTGAAATTTGAGCAGTCAACCGATGTAAACAATTTGTGTTTCTTTCTAGCTTTCCTTGGTCCTGTCTTGGGAAAGTGCAATCAAATTATCTCCTCTTTGCTCTCTTTTCTTTCAGCTCTTCTTCCGTCAACTTGAACCTTCATGCTCTTTATGGATTCCTTTGGGAGGCTTTCGCGGAAGCTTGGTACGGCCAATTACCAGTTCAGAACAAGAAGAAGAAAAAAAGGAGGGGGGGAGGACAGACCCCCCAGTCATGCATCCCGATGCTCCCTCTATATCTCGCCCCTTTTCCCTCTATGTCTAGCAATCTCTTATCCTTCCGTGAAAAACGTCCCAACGTAGTTTATCTCTACTCTTTTTCTCTCTCTGAGTTGTGGGACTTGAAAATTCTTGGAGTCTTGCCACCGAATACGAAACTTTGTTTCACCAACCACCGCTAACCCCAACCCTTGGTAAGTTTTGATCAACGGAAAGCGCCAAAACTGCACAAATGACAACTACTGATAGATACATCGAACACTCACCATGGCGGAGCAACCGCGACCGTACAGCGAAGCCCAGCACCAATTCATTAAGCGGACAAGGTCAGCTATTGACAATGACCACAGGAAATTCTTCAAGAGCAACAAATGGTTTAATGTGATGCCAAATGGTGGTCGGTTCAACAGCAATCTGATGAATGCTGATTCGAAAAAGACAACAGTTGACTCCTTTTATGTTAGACCGGAGGCAGTCTGGGTGCCGCATCTTCTATTCAAAGGACATGTCCCTTCTTGTCCCCACTGCAAGAAGGACTCCTACGTGGATGTTTTGAAAGCTCGCTGGGTCAACAATCCTATTATCCTTTTTGGGGTACAACGTTACATATATCTCGACACCGTGCTTTACCCTTGTGGACTGTGTGGTCGCAGATTCACTGGATATAACAAAAAGAGCATGCAGCTAGACGCCAGTGTCTACAATTCATTCTTCAACTTCTACCTTGGTGAAGGCTACGCAGTGGATGAGGAGTTGTACAGTCACATCGTGCTGTCAGCAGCTAATGAATGCACATCCGAAATTGCGAGACGTTTAAAGCTGAGCGCTTACAGGGCTTATTACTCGGATTATGAGCTGTATCTATCTGCAGTTGGGGGAGACCAGATCAACTTCAAGCCAAAGAAAAAGAAGCAGCGGACCTTGGATGAATTCGTGGAACCAACAACCGATGACCCTCAGCTGAAGCAGCTACAATCAATCAAGAATCGTGCAGTGTCCAAGGTCACTCGATTTCGATTGGATGCTGGTCATGCCCGAAGCTGCGTGGACAGGGACATCCAGTTTCGACACATGCTTGGGGACAAGGAGAATCGCAATCACTTTGGAGCAAAGAACATTCTTCCTGGGTTGGGGGGAACCAAGCTACGCAAACTGATATCAGCTGATATACAATCCACCAAACAGCTGCAATCATTAGATCCTGATGATTTCCCTGATCCACTTCGGCGGCTCCTTCCTGGCTGGCAGAACAAAGTCCAGGAATATTACAGCAAGCACGAAGAAAGGGCAGAGCAATTAGAGGAACAACTTGCCTTAGCCGAACTGGAATTGGAAGAAGCGACCGACTCATTGGCAGAGTACATGAGTGTCCACACCGACGAGGATAATGGAGGAGAAACCCAAGACAGTGAGGAGGCAGAATCCACTGACCGACCAACGCTGTTTTCCAAATTCAACAACAAGAAAGAATATAATGGAAAATTCATCAGCAAGCATCGCATCAACAGCATTGTTAACACAGTCTTTCAGCACAGGAAGGATTTCCAAGAAAGCAAGATGAAAGGACTCACCGCTGAAGTGCTCAAGATTGACTTCAACTATAAATTGGCTTCGAAAATCAGAGTTTGGACAGGACAAGGCCGCAGCTTTTGCCCATTTTGCTGCCTTGTGACCATTCAGAATGAGGACGGCCTTACTGTCTTCTGGAAAGCACTCAAATTCAGCGAGTCGTTCAGTGAGATTGAGCCTGATTTAGAAAAGCTTCGAGAGAGGTTGAACCGGAACGCTCTTGCAAAGGAGAAGAAGCGGAGGATAAACGCTGCCAAAGATCTGTTTCCACAAGGAGTTCCTGAGAGTGTATTAGAAGCAGAGATACCAGCATTCGAATCCATCAAACTGTTGTACGTTGACAACTGCTGTCAAGTGTACCGAATTCTGAAAAGGATTTTCAAGGATGCAATAATCAAGTTGGACCCATTCCACTGGATGAAACGATGGAATCCAGCGATGAAGGACCCAAGCTCAGCCCAAGGAGGAGTCTTCCGTGGTCTGCTCAGCCGTGCTTTGTTCAATGTAGAGCCAGCTGAGTATGCCCGAGCCAAGGAGAAGGTGGAAGCAAAAAGAGGTCGGGAGGCAACACACAAGGAAGTGATGAAAGAAGCCAATGCCATTATCCCAGAACCGGCATTGCTGAGACGGAATGTGGAGGCAGTGTTGAAATATGTGAGAGCGAAGGATGCTGAAACAGAGTTGATATTGTCAACAAGAACAGAGGAGAACAACGATGATGCATCGCCAAAACTGTTTCTGAAATCTGGCACAGCAACTCGCGATCTGATAAAGCAACTGTTTACATATATCGACAAGGGATGCCTCAGCGATCCTACATCAATCAAGGTGCACAGACAGAATCCAGTGACTGGTGTGACTTATGTACTTCGAGGTACCAACACCAATGAAAGGGACAATCTCGATCTTGCGTACAACATCCTTGTTGCCACCTGTATCGGTAAGTGCACTTCTATTCCCCTTTGTGGCAATCGACCTATCTCACACTACTGTTAACAGGCATTCACCAGGCTGACCGGTTGATGACTGGTTTCTTTGAAGAGAGGAACCACCGAAAGGCGATTACCAGGTGCGGCGATGAGGACTATGGGACTGTTGAAACAGAAAGGCTGCTGCTTCTTAATTCCTTTGCAAAGAAGGTGGGATATAGTGACACTGATCTTCCCTTTAAAGGAGCGAGTGCACCCACAGTTGATGATGGAGGGCCAGCTGAATTCATTGGCTTCTGCTATCGAGTTGTGGAAGATGTACATGACGTGTCGAATCCTACTGTTGGCGGTACTGAGTACAGCGAAGATGACACCACCAATGACAATGAACCAGTGGCCAGAAATCCTGCTGAATCGTCACACGATGATGTACCAGTCGAGGTAGACGATTTAACAGACAATCAGGATGCTGAGGAAGAGTTGGACCACCAGCTGGACAATTTGTCAGAAGAGGCTTCAATCAGAGAAGCCGATGCCCTTAACAGAGAAGAGATCTATCGCGAACTCGCTAAGTTGTTGCCAGAGAACAATGGTCGTGAGAGCACCCTGGAAGCATTCAATCGACTGACCAATAAGCAACCCTGGATACCCTTCAGGTACCCCGATAGTACCAAACCGGCAACAGTCTTGGATAGAGAAGAAGAGAGGCTATTCCATGCTGAGCACGTTAACTACAATGTACAGGGAAGAGGCAAGCCAAACTACAAGGCCTTCGAAAGACAGTGGAACAACGAGGTTGCTCGCCGATTCAAGGCCTGGAGTGATGGCGACGATTCGGTTATTCAAATCAATAGGAAGAGCCGGCAGCAACTGGAGCAATTCTTAAAAAAACGCAGAGAGCACCGATCACTACAAGCAACAGCTCCAGTGGCTGATGATCGGCACCGACAAGAACTGAATAGCACATTGCGGCAAACAAGGAATGACTTACCAGCCACAGGACCAGCGGCTCGAGTTACCACAACCAACTATGTACAGCATCATGGAGGCAACACCCCTTTTGGCAACCCTACAACAATGAATCCTCCTCTGGCGCTGGGTAGGTTGACAGGTATGTCCCAAACTGTTGAAGTGCAACAAAGGAATGTGGCGCCATTTGCCATGGCAGATGCAAGAGAAGCAAGACCACACCCACCTCTGAGGCCACCAAGAAGAGTATTCAGGAGCAGGCGATTCTGTATCACTTGTGGCCACAAAAGGAAGGATCACATTGAAGGGGAGGGAGTGGCGAAGACATGCAAGAGAGACTACTGTGGCAATTGTTGGCAGCTAAAGCATTTCCACAATGAAGATGATGGCTTTGGTCCAACATGCAAGAAGGCAACACACCGATCAAGTGACAGCAATGATTGGTGGGATAATAAACAGGTATGTTTCATTGACCTGGTGTTACTGTTGACTACTTGGATAACAAACAACAACAATCTTACAGCTGTTGCTTCCTTTCTTTTCAGACATGAGACATTTTCAGGGCATTGAGTATGCATACACTCCATTGTGAGCAGTGAGAGAAGCCCTGTGCATTATGTACTGCTGGCTACTGATCACCATTCCACTCAAGTTGTGCTTGTGCTTGCTCCAGCACACAATATCAAACCAATGACTCCATTCTGTAAGTAAGAACTCTTTGGCTTCCCACTCCCACACACCAAACTGATTATAGAGAGCATCCCTCATAAGTGGTCTAACTATCAACCTGCACAACTCTTTCTTTGTCATAGGATCTCCTTCCTCCACTACCAAAGCAAGCAGAGCAAGGACATCACTGTACCATTCAGAGCTCTGCCTCGCTCCCCATCCAGTCATGGTCTCCAGAATCCAGGTCATATCAGGTGTCATGGGCACAGCTTTTTCTTCCATTATGAGTTGCTCAATCATTACACTGGGAAGGTACTTTACCTTTAGAACAAAGTACTGACTGTACCTGTTTGCCCTGTCAGTTTCATCCATCAACAAAACATACTTGAGTTCATAGCTCTGCCTGGTCTTCCGAATCTCATTGAATGGATAGCGAGTATTAATATCTAGCCACTTTTTAAAAGCAACACTAGCAGTAAACAACATGGTGATGTGGTAGCTTTGCTGTAGTTGACTGTGTGGGAGTAGCAATCCAATGACTTGTCAACTCGACAGTTTTAAATACTCGAACCTCTACGGAGATCAAAATGTGACCACTAAGAGAGGAGCGACGACTTGGAGAGGTACGTTGCACCTCTGCGAATAAGTCTTCGTTGCTTCCATGTGACTCTTACAAGACCCACGAGAGTTAGGAGTTGAGATTTAAATTTTGGAGTGTGCGCTCTAGTGTACAATTAGCGAAGTCTTGTGGGGAAAATTTGTACTCTACTTTACCAGTAACTCAGGTTTTCCCATACCGGAAGCTTGGATGGAGATCTTGCTTACACGGATGATTCGATTGAAGATTCGAATCAAAGGATGGCCCAGCAAAGCGTTACGATTGCAGCTCTGAAGGCTTCAAATCTTTAGGGTAATCGTCCAGCTACCGTCTGTACCTGGTACCGGTGCCAGGTACCGGTAGCCAGTCTGCGTCTCTTCTTGATATTTTTTAAAGAGACGGTTCGCGCAAGAATGAGAGGCGGTCGCGCGTTTTTGGCTCATGCTCGCGTCTTTTCACTTTCGAAATGGCGCGAAGTTACCTGCGGTGGCAACAACAACAACCAGTCGATCGATCTTCCACCATGAAGATGCTCCGGAGACCGATACCCAACGAAAAGACGCTTCTAAATTACAAGTAAGGTCTCTACAATTAGTCTATAATACCACTACCGATGTAGCAACAAGCGCAAGCTTCAAAGGTTGTGTAGTCGTCGAGGAATGGTTGTTGTTGTAGTAGCAGGATTTCGCTCCGCTGCACGCTCCCAAGGTCAACAAGAGGAAGGAGAGTTTGAGCGCCACAGCTGCGGCGTTCTGGCGGCGTTGCCTAGAAAGAGCTACGTGGTTGCAACACTACCGCTCCGGCCTCCAAACTCTCTGATTGCGGCTACCGGTAGCGTCCTCCTCGGCTGTTTGACGCTGTTGTGGATTGGACTGACCAGAGGGGATTGCGAGGTCAACCAAAGAGATAAAGTGTCGCGACAAGCTTCCTACATGTGTAGTGCCACCTTAAGCCTTCGAATGTTGTGTCTCGCGACACTTTATTGCCTTTGGTGCCGTCACCATGGTGGACTTATTGCGTACACGTTTTATGAGACTCCCGCCTCTCATCCGTACGCACACTGTCTCTAAAAAAAATAATATTCGAGAGGCAGAGTTGGAAGGCAACAGCAAAGCGCTTTTTCATTATTTTAATTCATCATATTTCAACACTTCTACCGGTACTCCAGTACATGTCAACGGTACCAGGTACGATGTACTATTAATAAAAGCAACGGTTTCGCACAATTCATCATTTATTCTTCACGCAAGAATCTCATTTCCGACATATTTCTCTCAGTTCACACAATTCATCATTATTTTTCACAAAAATCTCAAATTCTCATCTTTGCGACCTAATTTCTCTCGAGCTCCGTCGCCTTCAACCACATTCAGTACACGCCGTACCCGGTACGTTGTACACAATCAGATTCCCTCAGCTAGCTAGTGTGGCTTGCGGGTCTTCCATGTTTGCCAAAGTCAAAATAGCGTGACTTGCCGCATCCGACATCTCCTCGAGAATCTCCTTGTTAATTTTGTCGACTGTATCGCACGCTTGATGGTAGCATGGATCGCAGTGCTCGCCAACAGTACCACCAAATAACTCAGCCCAGGCTTCGGTCTTCGGGAATTCGTGTCCTGTAAAGATACTACCAGTGGGGATGTCGATAGCTTGGAATGGATTAGCATCGGATGCGGCGTCTGAGGGCATAGTCAAGGTTACATGTGGAAGATTCTGCGAATCAAAATAGTCATAAAATATCTGCGCAATGGCGTCTTCCCCGGTGATGTTGAGGTTGGCAGCAACGACCGCTCGGATATAGTTCGGACTTCCCATCATATCAAAATTCAAGTAAGCCGCAATGCGTGCTACCTCTTCGTCGGGCAAGCCAGTCAAGTAATCCGCGGACCCGATAACGGCTACCTCTTCTGCTGCAAACCAAGCCAAGCGAACCGTTTGCTTTGTTGTGACTCCCAAGTTGGCCATTTGAATTGCGATTTCGAGAAGCGCCGAACAACCAGTGCCATCGTCATTTATTCCAGGTGAACCCGGCACAGAATCAAGGTGGGCTCCGGCCATTACAATCTGTTCGCCGCCGATGTTGCCTGCATCGACAATGACGTTGGCTTCGGTAACAGGTACAATAGTCTTGTTGGCAATCATGGAGAACGTTTCACCCGAAAGCTCGCCAACGTCCGCTATGAACACGTGCATCACGGGGACATCAACTCCTTCGGGTTCCAACGTTACGTAGTCGGGGAGCTCATAGAAGATGACACCACTGGCTCCTGCATCTTGTGCATTGAACACCGCGTCAGTGCGCTCGCAGGGACCGTCATTGACAAGAGCAATGTTACCAGCGACAAAATCCGAAAAGTAGGATTGGTCGCAGCCTCCTTCCACCGACTGGCCTACCGCTGTGGAAGAACCAGAGCCTGAATTCCCAACAACCGTAAATCCTGTCTCAACCAATTCATCCTCAAGAAAGATAGTTCCTCCTTCTACTGCCAGCTCCGACGGTCCAAGAACAGTATGTAGCATGAAGGACACGAGTTGAACTTCAGGGTCATACCCCGCCTCTTGCAGAGTTCGAACTACATAGTCGACAGACGCGTCATAGGCAGAGGTGCCGGAGGCTCGGCTGTCGCCGTTTGCGTCGGAAACGGCTTGCAAGGCCTCCAGGTGAACAAACACTCCGTCTGCCGATACGGCGTCACGCAAGGACGAGGACTCCATAAGAGCTTCTTCCATCTCGTCGGTTTCGTCAGTTGAATATTCTTGGATATTCTGAAGAGCGTTTCCGTCTGCTGAATCTTCTTGCGCTCCCCCGTTGTCGCTGCTTTTTGCTTGCGCTTCACGTTGCGTGTTCTTGACCTCCCTGGGGACTCCTCCTTTGACCCGCATTGTTCCAAGGCTGCTCCGGAGATCTCTTGGTGCAATTATGCCACCACGAGTGTGCTGAGCGTGGACGTGGATAAAGCATTGCAAAAGAGTCAGCGATAGGAGAAAGAAAAGACCAATTGGCGTACCGGTATTGACCATGTTGAGAGCTTTTTATCGTTCTGTTTTGTGATGTGTGTTGTGTATGTGATTGAAATTGAAATTATGATTTGGTGTGAGCCGAAAAAACTTCATGCATGTGTCCTTTGGACTTTGGATAAGTCGTACCGTGTACTTGGTACCGGTATCTAGTACCGTAAGAGTTAGTCAAGGTCACCAACCTGAAGCCTTGAAGGAGGATTGTTGTAGCGAACCTGAACTGGTTTTGGAAGCATGCATCAAAACTACGGTTGCCTCGTTTTGGAGAGTATGCTTCATTCGCCCAAAAGGTGATCCTAGTTTCCGTTCGAAGTCTTGAAGCTTCAGTAGTACCCTTGGTACGGCAAGTACGTGTACATGTACACGTATGTACATGTACGGAAGCTGATGAAGCTTCAGTAGTACTATCATCAGATCTGATGAAGCTTCAGTAGTACCACCAGCGTCAGTAGTACCAGTACCAGCACCAGTAATATTTCGACTGAGTTAGACTACGAAGTACGGTACTCTGCACTCAGTAGCACTAGTACACTACAGTAGTACCATACATAATGGGTCGTCAGAGTTCCTATTTCAATAACAGTGATGAAGCTTCAGTAGTACCACAGTACCACAAGCGTCAGTACTCGTAGTTCGTCGCCATCATATCAGCAGAGTTCCTAAATACGTAGCTACCAGGAGTACAGTCGTACTCCGAGTACTATTTTACATTTACTTACACTATTGAATTAATGTTTTTGGGGGTCACATGCTGGCTTGGTCCCCATACGTACTATGATAAGTACAGTAATGTTTACTAGCTACTATCTAGTAGGGTGTCCCAAATAGTGAAGTTTCGACTTTTTTTCTATTACCATTTTTGTTTCATGAAATTTTTAAGCAGGTTCCATCCAGAAGCCAGCGATCTTGCAGAGATGTCTGGACTCCGTGAGATAGCATGCAAACAGCCCAAGAATCATGATCAGATGACGGAACAAGCACCCCAATTGCTGTTTGACGATGGCTCCAGAGCAATCCAGCAAACCTCAGCCTCCGATGTAGAGACTGCAGCCTCACTGGAATCAGCCAGAGGTTCGGGAGGTTCCAGTCCCATTTCAAAATTCTACGAAATTGATCGCATTGCAGCTGGGATTGTGGAAGTTGTGCGCCAAAAGAAGTGTACCGAGCAGCTGGAAGAAAGTTCAGATCATTGGTTTCCACCTGTGGATCTTCAGTATCCTGATGCCATCTTATGCAACAGTCCAGAAGTTTTTTGGGAAATGGATGCCCTCGAGACCTCGAGAGGCTCTCAAGGACGTTGCGGCTGGGGATACGGCCTTTGTTAAGTCAATCCCACGACCGAGTGGTTGACAACACACAAGGACCAACGTGGGTTGGCCGACGACTGATAAAAATTAAAGCCACTCGTACCCTTCTCTTTTGTTTATTATTTCTATGATGGCTACCTTTGCTACAGTATATCAAGATGATGATGTTGCGACAGAAAATTTCGTCTCCCGGAGACGACTTGCTTTAGGGGTAAGGGTACTGTTGGGGACAGAGGTTTGAATTATACCCGGCGTGCAATACTTAGAGGCCTCTGTAGAAGTCTACGTATTTGACTAGTATTGTATTGACGGGATACAGTCAACGCATGTACATGCACATGAAAGTCGCCTCGCTTTTCACACAAGTTTCGCATGAATGAGCTCGAGCTTCACATTTTTCGCATGAATGAGGGATCACATTCCGTTTCGGGGCGAAGCAGAGAAAGGGATGAGCGCGCGGAGCGCGCGAATACTGTTTCAATAAAGCGAGTTAGGTGTTGGTAATAAAAGATTTATGGAAACGGAGACGAGCCAGGAGGCATATGAATTCTGAAACATGCCGACCAAAGCGTTACTGTACTGGTACTCTTGCAGCTCTCAAGGCTTCAAATCTTTCATTTTGTGTGGATCTCGGAGGCTCCATCAACCTCAACACTCCTCCCAGCAAGCTCCCGCGCTTTCAACCTCTGCTCACAACCAGAAGCAATGTGATATTGGACTTGACTTGCATTCTATTACAACAGTAGATAGATAGATAGATGTCATGAAGTCGATTGTAGCTGCACTCGTTTGCTTGCAGATCCTACAAGGTAGCACAATGGTGGATGCCTTCTCGACCGTTCGCAATCTGGCTTGTTTCCATCCTTCTTCTTCTTCTCTTCACCACTATGACAGAATTGGCACCATGCGAATGACGGATGCAGCAACGTCAGAAGAAGATGATAGTGACAAAGAAAGACCTCCCTTTTCCAAGCTCAAGTGGAAGAAGAAACGTTATCTGATGATGAAGGATGTTCGCAAGCTTATCGACGCTGGGGATAACCGTGCACCTCGCAAGGCTCATGAGATTGTCACCCGAATGCACAAACTCAGCGAGATATACCAAGATGAAGATCTGCGTCCGGATGAGCAAGTATACAATGTAAGTATGTACGGTTGATTTCCAATTATCTTTTTGTCTGTTTGTTTCCAGTTAGTTAGTTGCACCTTGCTCCAATCTCAATTTGTTTGTGGTACCTGATCAAACATATTCAATTCATCTATCGTTTATGGTACCTTTTAACGTGTGTTGTGTATTATTTATTTCATCAGCTCTGGATCAATGCCATTTCCAAGTGCTGTCAAAAAGCCGATGCTGGAAAGCAAGCCGAAGATGTGCTCCACGAAATGCGAAAACATCATGTCCAACCGAGTATTGTCAGCTACACCACTGTCATGAATGCCTATGCGCAATCATCGGGACGACGCAACCGAGCCGCACAAGAGGCCGAGCGGGTACTCTATGATGTCCTGGATCAACAACCCCAATTAAAAGTCAGTGCCATTACCTGCGACACCGTCCTCAAGGCATGGGCCAAACGAGGGGATATGGAGGGGGCCGAACGAGCCCAATTGATTTTGGAACGGTTGGAACAAACGCAACTGAGTGATATTCAACCCACATCGCATTCCTACGGAACCGTCATTCATGCCTGGGCTACCTGTCGGGGAGGAACGGAAGCGGCCGAAAAGGCACAAGAGATCCTCGACAAACTGTTGCAACCCAATCATGCGGTCAAGCCGGATACCGTGGTGTTTAACAGTGTTATTCATGCTTGGGCCAATTCCAAAGACAGCCGTGCTGGACCCAAAGCGGTAGAATTGCTCCACAAAATGAAAGATTTGCACAATCCACAAAAAGGCTTTCACACGGCCCCCGACACGTTTACCTACAATACCGTTTTGTCGTCGTGGAGTCACAGTGATGACATGGGGGCTGCCACCGAGACGGAACGTGTCCTCAAGGAAATGCAAGAGGCTTACAAAGAGTCACCCGAAACGGCACCGGCACCCAATACTGTGTCCTACAACTCTGTCCTTCACGCCTGGTCTCGCAGTACCACTGCTGGGGCGGTCAAGCGAGCCCAAGCCGTATTGGATTTCATGATCCGATCCAAACAAGAAGCCATTGCTCCGGATGTCTTTTCCTTTACATCCGTCTTGAATTCATTGGCCAAATCCAAAGAACCCGGAAAGGCCATGAAATGCCGCCAACTGCTCTTTCAAATGCTCCAATTATACGACAATACACAACGGCCATCTCTCAAACCGACACAAGTGCCATTCAATGCCGTCTTGAATGCGTGCGCCTTTTCCGCATCCGATACCACTGACAAGGAGAAAAAGGATGCCGTGCAAATTGCCATTTCCACCTTTTACGAACTCTCGCAACGAGCCAAACCCGATACCGTGAGCTATGGCAATCTCATGAAGTGTTTTCACAATCTCCTTCCACCGGGGCAACGTCGAAATGAAATGGCCTTGCAACTCTTTGACAATTGTTCCAAGGCAGGATTGGTGGGTGATTTGGTATGGAACGAAGTGCGACGGACTGTGCAGAGTCGCGTGTTGGTGAAAGCTTTAAAGCTGGAGAATTCGTCGTTGAGCAGTCTGCAAGTGCGCGATTTGCCGCGATCCTGGACGAATCGAGTGCAAGGAGACAAGCTGGCGGCGCGACGACGAGATCAGGAACGGCGAAAACGACGACAACAACAACAGCCAACCAGAAGACGGGCTTCCAATAATAGGAGGTCAGGACCCAATTTGCAGATTTCGGAACCGAGTTACCAATCGGGAAAAGATCTGTAGCGTTACTACTAGCTAAGTAGGTTTTCTCTACTGAGTAGACAAGAGGCACAAACGAGATGTCTCGTGTCTTTTCTTCTCATCGTCTTGACTGAAGATGGGGCCATCAAGATAGACCGAGATGTCCATTCTGGGCTAGATGTCCACACGAATGCTTTGTGTAGCCCCTGTTCAAAACCAGCAGGAAGCTTTGTTTGTTTGCATGCATGAGGGATTGAATGTTCCTGTTCAATCTTTGAAAAGCTTGTTGGCTCGAGATTTCTTACACGCTACATGGCAACTTCTTACTACTTGTAGGAAAGCTATAGCTAGCTAGCTTGGCCATCTCATGGCAGATTGTTGGTTGATCCAATGACATTCTTGCTCATGTTCCCCCCAAACAAAGCTTCCATTCAATGATCTGACCATTGTATTCCTGATTCCTCTCCTTTTCTTTAGATTCCATATTTGAGTTTGAGTGTCAACAATCCCTGTTGTCCCAGTAGAATTTCATGGATAAAGGTAAAGATTGCCAACCAGAAGATGGGTGTAATGTCGACTCCAAACGCTGGTGGTACCAAATCTCGCACGGCCCTCAACAATCCTTGTGTGGGCAATGTGATGACAAGCCATGGGAATTCATTCACTTTCATTTCCGGATACCAGGATAGCACCACACGGCAGAGCTTTGAACGGATAAGTAATATATAATATATTGTTGTGTGTCATTCGTAGATAGATAGATGATAATCAGGACAGAACCCAGAAATGGCGAGACGGGATACAGTAGTAGACGTTAGCAACACAGACAACAGGATTTGGATGAACAGATTCATTGTTCATTCATTCACTTCATTCAACGGGTTCAGCCACACTGTAACATGGCATGGAACATTAGCCAGTCAGAAGTAGCCAGTTATAGAAACAAGAGGAATCCAATCCAAGCCATCATGTACAACAGGAGCAACCAGTATCGATACAAGTAGTAGGCGTGCCCTCGTTTCTTGAAACGCCTAGTGCTGTTGTTGCTGCTTACCATGGCAAAGGACATGAAATTCAAAAAGGGATCTAGAAAGGTGACCGCAGGTTGTACCCATTCTTCGGTTTCCGCCAGCATGATTCCCGTAGATGCCAGATGGCTGGGATCTACCATTTGCAACCGAGATGCCATGCCGCGACGGTGCTGGGTGACGGGAGAGACCACAAAGGCCGATGCGGTAGATGCCGCCAGAAGCAGAAGCAACAACAGTGATTTCGTCATGATCAGATGGATGGATGGATAATGAAGAGATAGAATGAAGGGGGTGTGTAACTTGACAGCCGACCGATGGATGGTTGATGGGCAAGAAAGATGGAGGATGGGTTGCCGATGGCCGACAAGAGATGAAGAAACAAGATTTTCGATTTTGTGTCTTCTCACTTTTGCGACTGACGTTTGCTTTGGCGAGCACCTTGGCAACTTGGGTCACAAGCGTGTCATTGATGAGTCAGTCACGATCAAAGGAGAGCTCGTGACTGTCCTCAACGACGGAAGTTCCCGCACGAAACCTTGTTATGCCTCTTCACTTACTTTACTTGTCTTGCAACTTCTTTTGGTTGACAGGTCCAATCCTCTGCTGCCAAGGTGGTATCCTTCTCTTGTTGACGGAACAGAAGTGTTCTTGCTTGCTCATCATGTCATTTTTCACCACCATGGGCATTGGAAGTAGCGCGGCTCACCAGCAACGGGGCCAGGGGTATCCTTATGCTACCACCAATACAAGTCACAATGAGGATACCACGTGTACCACTGCAACGACACGACAAAAAGAGAAACGAACGGGCAGCATGAATTTGCGGTCATATTCCAAGTTGTCGAGCGTCACAGAACGCATGGTGGAGACGCATCGCTACACACAACGACTCATTGTGACGTGTCCCGGCTGTGAACCTCATTGGCAGGATGACCATCCCGAAGTTGTGTCTCTGTTGGCACAATTGGGTCAATTGCCTGCTTTGGAAGAATTGGTCTTGAATTGTGTTGGATTGCTCGAAGTGGCATTTCCCATCTCTCTATTGACAGTCATTCTCGAGGCATGTCCCAATCTGCAATCGCTCCAATTGGACGATGTGGCGTGCTGTACTAGCAGTAGCAGTCGCAATGAAGTACAGGCCCTGGCTCACACAATCCACAAGCAAGCCACCACAGGATCCTTGCGAGAATTTCGTTTCTTTGGAGGCATTACCCACATCCACCATACCAACACAGATTTATTGGATCCACTTTGGAGGGCACTCGCCAATCTGCAATCTGTCACCATGGATGCGGTTGAAGATGGACTCTTGGGGGGAGTCACACCATCCACCCTGCAGTGCCTGGCACAATCCACCACACTGGAACAATTGCATCTCCATGGAGTCATTCTCCATGACACGTGTCTCACCCAGTTAGCCCTGGGCCTGGGTAACCGTAGCACGGCCCTGAAGGACTTGTCGCTCGATCTCCTCGCCGGTGGTTCCCTGCCGCTCGCTCAAGCCTTGGGTGCCACTACCACCTTGCAAAGACTTCATCTCACATTGACACACTCGTGGACCGATGCCACCTTTTTAAAAGCTCTCGCCCAGGCTTTGTCACATAGTCGAGGATCGCTTCTCACGGTCAAAATTGGAACATGTGCTGTCCTGGATGATGCTACGGCTGCCGTTTTTGTGGAAATGCTGCAACATCACAATCATGTCTTGGAAGAATTGCAGTTAGGGCGATACCGGGGCATTTGGAAACCACACTTGACGTACTATCTCAAACTCAATCGGCAAAAACGGGGGTACTTTCACGCCAACTTTACCAGGCTGACCAAACAACGGTGGATCGAAGAGGGATTGATCCCCGTGCGACATGATCTAGAGGGCATCTTTTACTTTTTGCAAATGAATCCCATCTTGTTGAGTGAGTGAACAATATTTGGCTTTTTTGTCAGTACAGCTTGCGGACAATGGGCGGATCACACACACTCTGCTTGGCGCACCAGCTCTTGACCGAATGGTTGTGGAGATGAAAGCGGCTGTTGCGATGTCGACTTCCGACCATGGAGTTCCATTGGATTGCTCATCATCAATGCATACATGCCTTTTCATAATGTTACGCTTAAAAATTACATCTTTGCTAGCTACCTTCTCTTAAGTAGCAGTCTTACAATCTGCATTTGAAGAAGGAAGTTTACTGCAAGTCCTCAGACACAACCTCATGGACAGAAACTTCTACAATCCCCCAATTGCTACATCTGTGCCCTCTCCCAGCAGGTGGGCCACCATGCATAATCAAGGAACCTTGCTTCTTCCGGCATTTTGCTGTGAGGTGTACTACATGTATGTTTACTGTACCACTAGCTAGTACGTACATGCACTGCTTGGTGCAGTACAAATGAGACTATCTCCACTGCAAGGCAAACAAAACTCAATTTTCATATTCCCAAATGATGTTCTGCACAAGTCACAACTCTCATTTGCCCTTGTTAAAGCCACTCATATATGTCTCCGTGGGTCCTACAAGTTCAAACCCTTCGGCCCTCGTCTTGGTCCCCAGTTTGTTGCCCCTGATCCCATGGAACCTAATCCCAATTTGCGTCTCTTCTTTTCCTACCCCCCTGGGCCCCTGACTTCCATGGAAACCTTCCCCCCTACGCTAAATAAGACCCAGCTTTGACTTTTCCTCAACTAGCTACTGGTAGACTAGCTGCATGCACCAGTTTTGTTTTCATTTTCTCGAATAAACGATGTATTCCACTATTTTTATCATTTCATCCACGCTGCTGTACATGTACATGTACAGTATGCTTGCTACGCTGCTCCACACACAACACCAACGCCACACGCCCCAAAAGTTGTTGACCATGACACGACTTGAGATTGACTACACAACAACCGTAGAGGAAGGAGTGGTGCATGTGTGTCTGCGTGAACTTCAGAATCTTTCCCCTCTGCATAACTTGGTTGTGACCGGCGCCCCATTGGAGATTGTGAAGCACGTGTACCAATTTGACCCAATTCAAATGAATGATGATATCTTTTTGGATGCATGCCGGCACACTGCGAGTCCGGAGGTGATTGAGTTTCTGAAGGAACTGGTGACACCTGAGGTGTACAAAGCTGAGGCAGTTGCTGCAGAAATGATAAAAATACTCAGAGATGATGATCGATTCAGTGAAGACGCTTTCAGCATCTTCTTCCCGTTGTTTCCTGAAGCCTCTTTGACGTTCGTAGAAGAATGTGATAAGACCCCCCTGTCCTTTGCCTGCCAACAGGAAAATATCAAGGAGGCTACAATTACCAAGTTGATACAGTCGATCCCCAGCAATACCACAAGACTCTATTGTCGAGGATAGGCACCAGTGCTATTAGTACGTTTTCTTAATCTTAAATTAGCTCACAATTTGTGCACCTGGACAATTTGCTAGCAAAATAGAAACAGGTGTGGTGGCACCAACCACCATGGCCAGCTGCTGCTGGGCAGCATTGCAACAGGAGTAGAGTAGAGTACTCCCATGGATGGGAGACTGCAATGCAACAACAAAAAGAGTCAGGAAAAGCACCATTTTCAGCCAAAAAGTGAGGCACTCCGTCTTCCACGGCACTCACTCCTTCCAACGTACAGTACTGCTACAGTACTTCCAGCCGTACCGCTCCTACAGGTACAAAAGTACAGTACGCGTTCTTCCAACCTCATTGTCAAAATAACACCATAAGCAAAAGCGCTCCTCCAACACACACCTCCATGGTCAAAAAGGCAACAGCGCAGAAACACCATAACAACAACGCGGAAAGCATCCTCATTCTTCCATGCTCTTCCACGCGACCTTCTTTGACACCATAAGTGAACCTCCTTGACACCTCCGAAGCAACATGTCAACCTCCGTACAGTATCTTCTATACCGAATGCTGACTGGTTACTTTACTGGTAAGAATGAACAAGCGGTACCCAGTGATTTAACGATTTTCAGTCTTGCGGGACGTTTTGAGAGGGTTCTGGTGATGTTCCGTGATGTTTTGTGACGTTCCGCGACCCTCAGAAGGTTCCAGTGAGAACCCAAAGGTCACCTCCACGTTATTTCCTACATGACACCAGTACTGAACAAGATCTATTGGTATCTTTCCTTTTTCCAAACTCCTCCTCGAGTCAACTTCCTTCCTCTCATAAATCTAAATCACAGGATACCAAACAGGACTTATTGTTGAGTCGCCCCAGGACACTGCCTCTATTTATAAGCGAATTGTCCACCGGCAACTAAAGACTATAGGCCCTCTGACACTTAACTCTTCTTTAAGGCAACTATCTTCTAACCGATGCGACTCCTGTGCAGCTTCGAAAACGATTACCGGTACGCATACCTTGACCGCAACTTCTACCTCTCGCGCGACTGCAAAGGCAAGAAGATCAGAACCAAGGTAAAGTTCACGACCAAGTCTAGCGAGTACGACCGTGACCAGCTCACCTACAAGGTGACTCGGAATGCAGTATTGGTAGTGCAGTACTGCAAGTGCCCGACTTGGGAAGACAACGGATACTCGATCGCACGTCCGACGAGGACTGGACGAAAATTCTCCCAGGAACTTTCGTCTATACAGCAGAAGCCTCACGTCCAGGACCGATTCATCGTTTTGTTTGCCCCTGATCACATCCATCGTTCGGAAAAACCCGGTGTGATTTTAAGTGACGGCCAAAATCCGGGAGTGCCCAAATATTCATTGCAGGACCGCGACGAAATTTACGGACTAGAGAACAGGTTCTGCACTGGTTTGTCCCCACGAGACCTTGACGATATTGCCGTTGGATTGGCTCCAGATGTCGATTGGGTCCAGGCAGGTGAAAACCACGAACCCGAAGAACCCGAAACCGAAACCGAAGACGCTCCTGAAGAAGAAGCCCAAGTGATCGAAGTCGAAGTCAATGAATCAAATCCGGAACAGCGTCAAGTGATTGTGTATTTGCCCGATTCCGACTCTGAATAGGCGTGATTGAATAACGAGAACATTAGGGTAGTATAACTTAATTCTTTTCTTCCAACCTCCAACCAACAACTTCCAAACATGGCGAGCGTGATGACTGACCGAGAAGCTCCAGTGCCATACATCCGAACAACCACCTTTAAGGCGGATGAAGTGAAGTTTGAGTATGAGCAAGCAAAGGCAAGCATAAAGAAAATCGAAAAGAAAGACCAGAACGATAAGCTTGTCGAGACAACAACTGAGACAACAACCGCAAAGGCATCTCGAAAAGTGTACCTGAAGACGTATGGACACACAAGTGAAGAAGACGCAGAACATGCCTTCGAGGCATTAGAAAAATTACAAACGGAACTCGAAGCCGAGTTCAAGGTCGTCGAGACCAACAAAGCCAACGATGCAACCCTGTTGTTTAAAGCAACAAAGAAGATCTTTACAGGATCAGCTTTGACAGAATGGAACAACATAGTGGACGTAACAAAGACAGATTGGGAAGCATACAAGACGACAATGGCGAAGTTCATGTGTACGGTAGTCTGAAAGATGACGCGTACAATGAGCAAACAAACTACATGAGAGAAAGAACAACCGATGGGTTTGACTACAAAGCAGTGGTGGCTGCGATTGCAGACGATGAATCGATACTTGAAGTCTTTATTAAGGACATGAATGCTTTGAAACGACACTGCGGCGGCGGCGTTAACTTCAAAGATTGGTGGAACGAAGGTGGCTTAAGTGACACCGAATTGAGACGGATTGTGACAACAAGAGTCCCATTGGAATGGCAGCAGAGACTGCGTCTACAAGACATTGGACACAAATACCGAGATGAAGGGGAGATCAGCAGTATTATAGACTTCTTCACCCTATTGGAAACTAATGAACAACTAAGAAACCGCCGAGGATCGGCAAGAATGACCCCACGTGGAAGAACAATGCCTGCGCGAGGCGGCAATCAAGGATTTCGAAACAGACAACAAAGAGGCCCATTAAGACAAGGATACAACCAATCAAACAGAAATAGACCGGCAGGTCCCAACCGATACCAGAATAATCATAGCCAAGGATATGGCAACAGACAAGCGCAACCTAGTAGGTACCAACCACCGCGGTATCAAGGATCCTACAACACAGGCGGTCGAACAGGAAACTCGACGAGAGGGAATGCAGTCGGCGGACGTTTCGGTGGCCAACGAAATGATCGACGACCCTTCCAAGGACAGAACAACTGGCGGCCAAGGCCAGGCGGAAACTTTGGCAATAGTGGAGGCAGAAATCAACCTCCACGACGGACTGAAGGATACTACGCTTCAAGAAGACGGAATGAAGCATTCTACCATGAACCTATGGTGGAAACAGTAGAAGAAGAAGATGAAGAGTGGGAGCAAGCCGAGGATGAGCAATACCACATCAGAGAAGAACAGGACCAGGCTTACCACCAGGATGAGGCAGAAGAGCAATTGGTGGATCAATGGAACGATCAGTTCTATGTCTACGATGAAGATGACGATGGACAGGATCAGGAAGAACAGGGCTACCAATTGATGGATGATGACAACAACTATGATTGCGGCTATGGCTACCAGGGCTATGGTCGCGAGCATTTTTAGCCAGGAAGAAGAGCTAGAAGATGATCAACTTAGCGACGATGACTCCATTGCTTCGACAGAGGACCAACAATCGATACCCTCTACAGTGGTGATCATTGCGATACATAACAAGAAGACGGGACGCCAAGAACTATTCCGCGTTCTCTTAGACACCGGTACCAACCGATGCATGGCAACTACAGCGGCGATTGATCGTGCTGGCCTGACACTTAGGAACAATCGGGAGCACAAGTATCACACGGCTGCTGGCGTGTTTAGCACCAAGCACTCTGCACGGATTCGAGCACATCGCATTCTGGAACTCAACAGCCGAAGAGTTCTGCAGAATTTAAAAGTGCAAGTGACGGAAGGCAAATTAGGAATGTATGACTTTATATTTGGACGCGACTACATGAACCGTTATGGAATTGACCTACTCTTCAGTGAACAAGTCATCCGATGGGACGGAATGCGGATGGCAATGAAGAATATAGAGGAAACCAAAACCGACATTGATCGACTGGAGAATGAGATCAATCCAATCGATGAAGATCCAAGCTCGGTGCAATACACGGCTCTTAGCCTTATTCGCGACTCGATCCTAGATAGGGTTTGAGTTCGACTCATGACTGAGTCTCTCGTGAATAGTCATTTGAGACAGGGTTCTCAATGACCGCTCTAGTCATACTAGGTCGATGATGAAACATCGCTCTAGATATTTAGCCAGCGTGGAGTACTTCCACGCTACTAGATCCAGGCTAGACAAACCTTCCACGCGTTCCGTTTTTGGATCGTGGAGGGACGTAGGATTACCACTACAACCTACTCTATCACACTTCATAGTCTCCCGCGGGAAGCCAGATCTACGATCCCTCGATGATGATCTCTCTCGTTGATTAGTTTTCATAGCTTTCTAATCTCTCTCATAACTTTCATTCTCTCAAACTCAAAACACTCGAAAGATCTTTACACTAGCTTTTAGCGTAGTGCATTTTGTTAACAAAATGCAATAGCTTTCAGCTACCCTCAACCTATTCCTTCACCATGAAGATGGCTCAAGGAAAGCATGCGTTCCGCAACTTCGAGAAACAGTTGCGTGACAAACCCATTCTTCCTCTGGTCGACAATGACGAAGACACCGAGATCGACGATACTCGTGCAACCACCTGCAAACTTCGCAACCATGTTGCCAAGCGCAAATCAGAAAACTCTGATAACGAGGACAACTCCTCAATCAATTTCAATCACTTGGATGGAGAAATCTCTATCTGAGGATTAGGCCAGGATGATGACTCAACGGAACCATGTTCCAATTTCTCATACCAAAGTGATGAAGATATCTCACTAACTAGTAAACAAGAATTGTTTGCAACCGATGAACTCTACGGCAAATTAGATGATTGCCTAGAAGCTGCTCAACTAGACTCTGATGATCTATTTAGCATCGTTAGCATCGTCACTGGCCAACTCAATCGTAAACGGTCGGAAAGACAAGAGACTAACCTGTTGAAACTATCGTCTATGTAGATTTAAAACAAGCAGAGAAAAAGGGAAACCAAAACCCGTACAACTCGTTGCTTACTGGATACAGGATAGGCATCCGGAACGGTTGATTGCTCAATCCTCATGCTAAGAAATGTACGCATGAAGGATCTTGGGGCGATCCAACGATGTGGACTACCCAGCAGGAGAATTAAACACCCACACGAAGTGCAAAGGTGCATTTATGATTCCTGAATTCCACGAAGATAGAATCATCGAGTGGGATTTACACGTCACCAAAGCTTGGGGGCGTATGACAGTGATCATAGGTTCGAGACATTCTCTCTGACTAGGATTCAGTTCGATTTACTTACGATGTCAGTGAGTGGGACGTCATATCTATTCCTATGAAAGATAGTGATACAAATGAAGAAGAGAACTTCTTCATTCCTGATCCCTACTGCTGTTGATGACAGTGCAGATCGTCTTAAGAAAATTCTTGATGCGAAATACGAACAAGCTGACTTAAGGCAGGTTTGCAAAGTCAAGATCAGTTAAACACGGAGAAGAAGGAACAGCTTCATTCCTTACGGACGAAAAGTTACTCTGACTTATTCGATGGTACTTAGGAAAGTGCAGAATGGACGACTACGAAGGTAGAACTTCTCCTGATGCTAAACCCTATCATGCCAGGGCTTATCTTATTCCACGTGTCCCAATACCAACACTCCTAAAATGGAGGTTGAACGTCTCTGCGAGGCAGGAGTACTCAAGAATGTGAATCGTTCCGAGTGTGCGGCATCAACTTTTATCATTCCTAAAAAGGATGGATCTGTAATATTCATCTCTGATTTCCGGGAACTGAAACAAAAGGATTAAGCGGAAGCCTTATCCTATCCCAAAAATACAGGACAGTCTCTTGAATCTAGATGGATTCAAGTATGCTACTAGTCTAGACCTGAAAATGGAATACTATCACATCGATCTGTCACCTCACTCGAAGCAACTCTGTACCATCGTACTCCCATGGGGAAAGTACGAGTACCAGAGGTTGGCAATGGGCCTATGTAATAGTCCGACATCTTCCAAAGGAAGATGGGAACACTAATGCATGACTTAGGAAATTTCCGTGCATACATGGATGACCTACTCATCCTAACTAACGGCGATCTAGCAGATGACGTTGAAAAGTTGGATGAAGTTTCTCCGAAGGTCTTTCGAGAAGCGGACTCAGAATCAATGCTACCAAGTCCTTCTTGGCAAGAGGAGAACTTGAGTACTTAGGTTACTGGATTACTCGAGAGGGATCCAACCTATAACCAAGAAAATAGACGCGAGTAAGAATATCGCTTCTCCTACCAACAGGAAGGAACTCCGTATATTCATTGTACTAGTGAACTATTATCGAGACATGTTGATTAGATGATCACATGTACTGGCCCACCTCGCTTCGTTGACTTCCAAAACAACGAAGTGGAAATGGGAAGGCGAACACGACAAGGCCTTTAGCAGATGAAGAAGTCATTCAGCAAAGAAACCTTGCTCGCCTAACCTGACTTCAACGACACATTCGTTAACCACACGGATGCGAGTGATACTCAACAAGGTGCAGTAATTTCCCAGAAGGGAAAACCTAATGCGTTCTAAGAGGGTAGGAAGCTGCAACCCTGCTAAGACACGTTAAACAGTTACCGAGAAGAAACTTCTCAGTATCGTAGAACTCTAAAAGAGTTCCGTAACATTCTTCTAGGACAGACGATCGTTGTACATACGGACAACAAAAATCTTACATGTAAGAACTTCAATGACGATCGCGTAATGCGATGGCGCCTTATTCTGGAAGATAACGGCCTGAACTACGGTACATCAAGGGCGACAAGAACATCGTCGCTGATGCGTTGTCGAGACTTTACATCTCCAACAATGATGTTTCTTCAGAACAGATGGACCGCAGCGAAGATCGCTGAGCTTCATTGATCT